TCCGTAAGCTCAAACTGAAGCTAAAGAGAATTAAATCCTCAAGCAAAATTTGACCTTAAATCTATCCCATCTGAATTATAAAACCATCTCGGGAACAGCTTTGAGGACTTGAACAATAATAATATAATAAGCAAAGGCTCATTATTATATATTATGATGGAAGGATATTAAGAATATTATATGCATGAAGCATGCAAAAGGTTATTACAAAAACAAAGGAAGAAAAGACTGAGACTGATGTCAGAAGAGACTCTAAATACTGCACTAGTTCTCTCTTTGTACCTACATATACACTTTGTATGAATTAACACACTGAATCCTCATAATAGCTCTACTGTTGTTAGGTACTATTAAGTCAGAACAATCAGTTATTACATCCACTCCCACTCCTCTCTACAAACAGTTTCCCAGGTCATACAACAGTATCAGAGAGAAGGTGGAAATTACCAAGTAGGACTTCAAGAATTACAATGACTGACATACATACTGCCTTTGTGCCCATTATATATTTGAAGTTCTTATTGTTGTTGAGTACCATTTAGTTGAAACTGACCCTCTAGAGGGATTTCAGAGAAGGATGAGAGATTGGCCCTCCTTCTCCCATGGAGCAGATGGTGGATTCAAAGTATGTACCTTTGGGATTGCCACCAGAGTTCCCTGCTGCTGTTGTTAGGGACCATGAAATAAAGTACAATTAAAAGCAACCCAATGAACAGCATCAGAACTTTGTTTCTCCTTTGCCATCATTAGTATTTCTGCTTATTCAAGCCCACTGTTGCAGCCACTGAAAGAATCCACCTTGTTGAGGATGTTCTTCTCTTTCATTGACTATCAGGTCTTGGGAAAAGACATGCTAAGAAAGCGAGAGGCTGAACTATGTATGTCCCTTTAAAAATGCATTAGGGTAAAGAAGAGGCCACCCTTTCTAACGCATATGTGCACAATAAATCTGAAGTAGGCAAGAGGAACATTTTTTAAAAACACTGTTTCCAAATGAAGAACTTCCCAAACTCTAAAAGGTAAAAGAAACGACTGACAGAAATCTGAGTCCACTGATAACAGAGATACACATTAGGATTTCTGTTTACTTCAAATAAATGTGTTTTAGCTATGGGAAAGCATTTTTAAACTGCATAAGCTAGGCATTTATGAAACAAAAGGTCTTCAGAACAGTTGAATGCTAGCCTATAAAATTAAGTATAAAAAGAAGAAATGAGGGTTTTAATAAAATACGTCAATGCTCTCCCTCCCCCTCCCTGTGTTTCAAAATTGTATTAACAAATCAAGGAAAGGGTGTCAAGGGGGAAAAATAAGGCTGAGGGGGAAAAACAAACCCAGGATGCTATTATTCAGCTCTGTACTCAGATTTAACAAGCACTATCAATCTTTCTTTTTGTGAACATTAAATTGAGAAAGGGGGGAAAGAAAAAGAAAAAATACAGATCAGTCTTCATAACCAAGGGCTAGAGGAACTTCAAATTCTGGAAACCTGAACTGACAATGTGAAGCCTCCCGAATTCTCTGAAGGACTGCATGCATTATATTCGCCGGGGTTTTTTTTTTTTTCTTTCTTCATTTTTAATCATTTGGCTCTGTAGCCCTCCTGACAAGGGCTGATGGAGTGGTACAATCCAGGTGCGCGCCTCTCAGAGGCAGAGGTGACAACCACACTTTAATCTCTAAATCTTTCCTAAATGATTCATTTTTGTTCTGTAAACCTAATGCACAATTTCAGGAAAACCATCGCAGAGGACAAAGCAGCAAACCCAAAACTCTCTTTCTTAGGCATTTAGCTTGTTTTTCTTCACTTCCAAGTGGATCTTTGTGAATCAAGTGAACATTCTATCCTAATGATCATCTTTTTTTTTTAATGCACAGATAAACAAGGAAATAAAGAAAAACAACTAACATAGGATTACACTTTTACATAACAGCAACCTGACAAGAGAACTAGTCATTCAATAGGCAATCACAGTATTGCAAGTACCTGCTGCTACTATTCCTGGCCCCCGTGATTCGATGATTCTGAGCAAGCTAGAGAAGGCTGATACTCAGGTGGTCTGCACGCCAATGCTGTTGCTATGTGCCATTGAGTTAGAATCAACTGACAGCTGACCTTATAGTGGGAATCCAGAAGCTGTAAACCACAGAGAAGGAGACTGTCCATCTTTTTCCTACTGAACAGCTAGTAGATTTGAACTACTTGTCTCTGGGCTGACAGTCAACTCTTTACCACCAGGCTATCAAGTCTCCTTATGGATGCAAGGGGGGTGAAACCAAGAAATAAAAGAAGGATCTTCCTCATGGACAGTAGTAAGAAAAGGAGTGATGGCAGATATACACAGGATGCTAAAACAGGGAAGAGCTGGCAAAGGGAACCCATTTTCACAAGGTGTTAACTGTCTGTGAAGTTGGCATTACAATTGATCTTTCAGAGGTGAGAAGGAGCCAGACTGGGGAAAGCACCCTCCCTGCAGAGCAGATGGGAAGTGAAAGGTCCAGAAGAGGCAGGAAAGAACATGCCACATTTCCAGAACTGAGAGGAAATCAGTATGGCCACGCTCATGAACCACAGATCAAGTGATATGAGACGAAGTGAGGAAAGCAATGAAAAGATCTCTCAGATTTTAATAAGGAAAAAGGGATATATTCGTTAAGCAATGAAATGACTTATTTTAAAGACTTTAAGGCTACTGTGCAGAGAACACTTTGGAGAAGGGGCAGGGACAGCAGTAAATTAGGAGTGTGTGTGTCACAGCACAGGCAGGCAATGCTTGTGACTGGGGTTAGTCTGGCATCAGTGATGACAGAGTAGCCAATGGAGTGAAGATCTATTTCGAGTTTGCACACAAAAACCTGCTGATAAACTGGGTGGAAAAAAAGGAGTATCAAAGAAAACCTTGCCAAGAGATTCTTTCAAATGAAATCATTTCTGTTGTGCTGCAGAGTCAAAATACAGAAGTTCAATTTCAAATGACTTGAAAAAGAATATTTCAAAATGAGAACACATTGTTAATAAAATTACATGTACAGAGAAGGCAACAGTTTATGCTTTTTAGAAACAAATTTTAATAAAAGCATCCACAGTCACTTTAGACAAAATAAAATGAAAGAATGATTTCATTTTAATAGTTGAATACCTCAAATTATATTTCAGGAGATTAAGAAAAACATTTATCAAATAAACATAACTCAGTTTTGAGGGGAATATAAAAACAAAACTTTAGTTTTAGCTTATAGAATGCTCATGAATTCTTGAAAAGCTTTAAGAAGACTGGCAACCTCCTCTCATGCAATTTACCACCTCTGACAACCCCTGAAGAGTCAGCAATGAGTCAGCTTCAACTTGACAGCACATAACAGTAGCAACACAGTTCACCTCTGCGAAGACAAGCAGTGTGTCTGGGTGGTGCAAAGAGCTAATACATTTAGTGCTAACTTTGGTGGAAGATCAAGTCTACCAACAGGTGTACTGGAAGAAAGACAATGCAATCTATTTCACAAATCTCAGCCTTAAAAACCATACTGAGAATAGTTCTTTCTCCTATTGGGTTGCTATGTGTTGCTATTAAAGCTATTCACTGGCACACCGAAAACTACAGATTAGTTGTTGTTGTTGTTGTTGTTAGGTGCCGTTGAGTATGACTCATAGTGACCCTATGAATAAAAGATCTGAATCCTGTTATATCCTGCACCGTCCTCACACTTCCTGACATACAAGAACCACTGCAGCAGGCACTGTGTAAATCCACCTGGTTGAGGATCTTCCTTCACTACAGACTACCAAGGGAATTAATGTCATACTCCTAAATCTGACTTCCAATGACCTGCATCAAGTGGTCCACAGTAATTCAGAATGGATATAACATGAGCATGAGATATGCATCTCAAAAACTTTTATTTTCTGATTGAGACAGTGGACAACAATGGATGTAAGCACAGTGGAGGCTGTGAGTATGGTGGAAGATTCGGCAAGGTTTCAATCTGTTTTACAGAGGACATTTAAGCCACAGTCTACTCAAGTTCATCTACTAACAACAAGAACAATTTCTACCCTATCTACCACATGGAAGGAGATAGATGGACAAATGCTTATCATGACTGTCCAAATTCTGTCCCAAATTTAGAATAGGTTGTAAAAGAAAATTCTTATTTAGAAAAAAATATGTCTAACATGATTTCAGGAACAGAATAAAGACCCTCAACAAGACAGAACTCACACAATGACTCCCACAATGGGCTTGAGTATGACAGAGTTTGTGAGAATGGCAGAGGACAGGGCAAGGTACAGATCTGTTGTTTAAAGAGTTGCTGAAGGTCACTGTCAATGTGATGATCACACTTAACAACCAAAACTATGTTTATTTTCCACTTCCACACACATAGCTTATAATAAGCACTGATTTCAGATCACTGTGTTCTGAAAACTTGCCAGTTTGGTTACATGATGATATTTCTCTCTATCATCTTCTCAACTGAGTCCGCCTATAAGTATGAGAAAAGGCTGGATTCCACATTTCTTTAGAATAACTTTTAATACCTGAACTGAATTGGCTGTCCCTAATGTGCTACTGTTGAACACCACTGAACGACTGTGATTCAGACTGACAGAGTAGAGCATCCTTTTAAAGTGTTCTTGGCTGGACTCTTTATGGAAGCAGATTGCTGTGTATTTTCCCATGCAGCTATGGATGGGCCTGAACTGCTAGTATTCACTAGTAGCTAAGTGCTTAAACATTGTGCTACTAATCTCCCTGGCCTTAAGGCAGACACTAGAAATTCTGCTGAGGATTTGCTCAGCATTCCAAACCCATGGTAAACCTCAACTGCAATGCATGAAATAGTATCTGTGCCTGGAAGCATTTCTAAATCCTCAAAAAGTATTTCTCTACTGCAAGATCAAATCTAACATCTTAAGGGGGGGGGGGAATGTAAAATGGTTCCGATAATGGAATAAAGTTTTATCTGCTAACAAAATCTAGACGGAGCAGAAAATATACCTTCAAGCAGTTTTCTCTCTGAAGAGAGTTTAGAAGCAGCAGCGGGAGCTTGATACAAAAAGTCACAGAGAAAGGTGGACTGGGTGAAGTCTTGACTTAATCCACACTCAGATGGGATATCATGTTGTGGGAAATCTGGGAAAATTAAAGAAATAATAAATATGAAATCTAAAACATTTTTTTTTTACTTTACATATCTAGTTAAATGCAGGAGTTATGGACTGTCACACAAGCAACATGAAAAAGGCTGCAAAATACAAATATGTTGTTGTTATGTTCCACTGAGTCGCTTGCAAGGCATAGTAATCTTATATACAACAGCTCTGAACCCTGCCCTATCCTGAGCCAGTCACACTGACTCCAACACACCTACTCTAATTACCCCAGTTACTGTATCAATCCATCTCTTTCAGGGTCTTCCTCTCTTGCACCGATGTTTATTTGACTTTGTATAAGAGCACTGAAGTTATACTAGTTATAACAGAATGATCAAATTTCATTTTGTGAAATACACATGGGAAATACATATAATTTATTTATAAAACCGCAAAAGTAGATTTAGTTACCAAACATACTTGAAAAGAAGTAAAAATAACCTTAAACATCTTCGTCTTGATTGTTTTTCTTCCAGCTGATCCCCCCCCCCATCTAACAAACAGATGCACTCTGCCAGCCTCTTTAAAACAGACACCATGAGCTCAAGCTAGAAACTCACCTGAGAATTTGTTATGGTAGAGAAACTCCATCTGCAGGCTCTGGCCAGCCTTCTTAGCCAGTAGATAGGGGGTGCTATGCACAGGGTCGCCGGTTGCACACATCACATCTGCTCCACTGAAAAGCAACGTCATTGTTTCCAGAACATCAGGTTTCACTACTGCAGCACACAGGGCCTGGGTGTTCAAAGAAAACACACTTTTTAAAGGAACAAAGTGCAATTCTAACTTTAAAAAGGAAACAAAGCAGTTTTCATTGATGAGTTGAATTTGTATTCTTTTTTTCTTCTGCCAAGAAGACTGAAAAGGGATCTCTCTGGTGGTGTGGTTCATCGAAAGTTGCGCTGCTGACCCAAAGGCAGCATCTATCTGTCAGTTCGAATCCACGAATGCACAGGAGAAAAACAGGCATCCTCTCCCTGTGAGATTTTAGCCTCCCAAAAACACCCAGGAGGGTCAGCAATACTACGTTTGCTTGTGGTGTTTGGTTTATTATTATTATTATTATTTTTTAGATAAAAGACAGTTATTGTGCCCTTATTTCGACAATAGGGACAAAAGGTCCTTTGATTATGGATTTAAGTAACACTAGTAACTAGGTAGCTTTACAATGGATTTAAGAAACAGTCGTCTAAATTTCAAGTCACTGTTCTGTTGGTGCAAACTTTCTCATCCATCATAAGTGCTTTTCAAAATACTTATTCACATCGTTCACATCTTATGGAAAAAGTTGCTGTTTAGAAAATTTAAAACATTTTCAAAGCAATATGAAGGAACCAGCAATGTTTTGTCATGCGAAAATTCATTTTATATATGTGTATGTTTATGCATGCGTATGTATTATGTTTGTCTATTTGACTGTGTATCGTTTCTACTTAAGCATGATCTGTCTCTCATCTCTCTCATTATTATCATGCTGAAACTAACTCATAGCTGAGCCTCCAGCCAGTTTGCAGAGATTTTAAATTACATTAGAGGAGATTATGCATCTTTCTCTCTTGAAGAATCTGGTAGATTTGGACCGCCCACCTTTGGATTGGCAGCACAACTTCTTAACCACTAACCATCAGACCTTGAATCTTTAAATTGTTTTGCTTTATAAGTTTAAGAAATGAGAACCAACCAAATTCCCAATATTTTCCCTTTTTTAAAAAGGATGTTAGAGATGAGTGAACAAAGACGAAGTGTAAGGAAGAGACAATTAAACAACATGACATCTTCTGAGGTTTCTCATTCTCAGACAAACAGGACTAACTGTTGGAATACAACATAGCCTTTTTTGGGGTTTGCTCCCACTAAATGAAGTGAGTTATCTTTAGATAGTTTCTCATTTTCTTCATATCCTATATGCATTACCAGATCTTACTTTATCAGCTTCTCATCTGCTTTCAAATTGTCTGATTTGGGACCCTGATTCCACCTGACACTTTAATCTAGGATTCACCTCTGCGTCTCTCACTGTCATGATCTATCTGTTTAGACTATTAATAAATTCCCATCTGTGATGCCACCTCAGGACAATCATACGTTAACTATCCTGACAGTCACCTCCGAGTGAGCAGTCTACAAGTTCTGGCGCAAATTACAGTTCAGCTGGTAAAGAATAATTTTTTCCTCCACTATGGTCCAAGTGATCACTATAATTTCTTTACAATCACAGTCAAGAAACTGAAATAAAATTGTATTAATTCATCTTTGTCTTCAAGAAACATTCTCACTGCACTTTTCCCAAAGCATATCTTTGTTCATTTGGTTTTCCACCGAATGAATATGCAATACTCTTCTCCAAACCACAACTCAAGGAATCAACTTTTCTTCCTTCATCCTTATTCACTGTCCAGTTCTGAGATGTGTAGCAAGAGACTGAAAAGACCATGTCCTGAATCAGGTACATTTTATTCTTAAGACTGACATCCTTACTCTTCAGTATTTTGTAGAGATCCTTGACAGCAGTCTTGCTCAATGCAGTATTTCCCCTGATTTCCTGACTGCTGGTACTAAGGATTCTATTTGCAGATTTAAACAAGATAAAATCATCGGCAACCTCAATCCTTTTATATCTATTGCAATCTTTGCCTATTGGTCCAGTGGTGAAGATTTCTGTTTTCTGGATTTTGAGATGTAATCCATATTGAAAGCACTAGTCCTTGATCTTCTGCGTGGAACATTTTAAATCTTACACATTCAGCAAGCAAGGTTGTGTCATCTGCAAAGCACAGGTTGTTTGAGTCTTCCTCCAATCCTGATGCCATATTCCTCTTCACAGACTCCAGTTGCACTAATTATTTGCTCAGGATTCAGATGAATATATATGGGGAAAGGCTACAGTCCTAGCACACACCCCTCCTGATTTTAAACCCTGCGGTGCTCCCTTGCTTCATTCTAACCGCACATTCTTGGTTTAGGTATAGATTCTTTTTTTTTTTTTTTTTATTTTTTTTTTTTTTTTTTTTTTTTAATTTTATTTATTTATTTATTTATTTATTTTATGTGTGTACAGTCAAATTGGATCTGACTGGTTTCAAGGAGGCGATTGTTCCTCCTTCTTCAGCAGAGCATCTGGTGGATTTGAACCGCGCACCTCTGGGATTGCAGGGCAGTTTCCTACCACTAGGCCACCAGAGCTCGCCAGGTATAGATTCTGCATGAACACAATTAAGTGTTCTGGGATTTCCAGTCTTCTCAATGTTAACCATGGCTTCATTTAATCCACACAACCAAATGTCGTTTCATAGTCAATAAAACCAAGATATACATAATTTTTAAAAGTTGTATTTTATATTGGTTTGCATGCAAAGTCCGAACACATTGTATTTGACACTGTACTTCATTCGCACAATCATTTCCATTCATTAACTTTCATTAAAGTAATCACCATTGAACTATGCCCACCATTAACCTATCCTGCTCCAGATCCCAGCCAGATCTTCCCCGTTTTCATTACGCACCTTTCCTTCATCCACCAAATTATATGACTCTCTGATTTCCTCCCTTTCCATACTCACCCTCCTGCTCCTACCCCCACCTTGGAGATATGATTTACTAGTTATCCTTCTATTTTTATAATAATGATCTTATTCTATATCTGTCCTTATAAGACCGAGTTAGTTCACTCAACATAAGGCTCTCCAGTCTCTCAAGTTAAATAGTAACTTTTTAAAATCATTGCTTCTGAGTGCTGTATATTATCCCATCATGTGAATGTACCACAATTTTTCTCAATCCATTCAATTGGGTTTGGGCATCTGAGCTGTTTTCATATCCTTGTGATGGCAAATAATGCTGCTATGAACACTGGTATACAAATCTGTTTATGCCCCAGTGCTAATTCCTTTAGGGTTTATTTCTAACAGTGGAATAACTTAGTCTTATGAAATTTCTATGTTTAGCTTTTTAAGAAAATACCTTCCAGTGGGTCTGGAGATGTAGCTCACCCTTGGAGCACGGTGGCTCACGTGCTGCGGCTTTCTGGTTCGTGGTTCATTACCGCTACCAAGTGAAAGAAAATACCTTCCAGCATGGCTGTAACATTTCATAATCCCATCAACAATGTATGACAGTTCTTATCTCTCCACATACTCTCCAACATTTATTGCTCACTGTTCTCTTAAAACTTTGCCACTGCTACTGAAGTAACAATGGTATCTCGTGGTTTTGATTTGCCAATGATTTTAAACATTTAAGTGTTTTCATGTGTTGGCCATCTGAATGTCTTCCTCATTGAAAAATCTTTCCATGTCTTTTGTCTATTTTGTAATTGGGATATCAGTCTTTTTCTTGTGGAGGCCTGGTAGCATTCTTTAAATGTCTGCTACGAGACCCTTGTCTGAGACAGTATTTACAAATGTTTGGGGTTTTTTGGTGTGTGTTTTTCCCAGTCAGTAGGTTTTCTTTTCCTTCTGTGGGAAAATTTTTTGAGGACCACAGCGATTTAATCTTTAGAAGGGCTCACCCATCAATTTTATCCTCTCCTGGTTGTGTATTTCTGACTGTTTTTGTCAGTTCCTTTACACCACAGATGAGGGATTCTAATCTTGGTCCCATTTTGTCTCTTATAATCTTTACGGGTTTGGGCTTTACTCCTACGTCTCTGATCCTTCTGAGTTGATTTTTGTATATGGTATGAGATGTGGATCCTGTTTCAGCTTTCAGCAGGTAGTAAGTAGTCCAGTTTTGCCACCTCATTTGTTGAAGAAGTTTTCATTTCCCCATTTGACAGGTTTTGTTTTCTTGTCATCTATCAATTGACCATAGATAGATGGTTCATTTCTGTGACATATACATTCTTCCGGTATTCTCTACTCTTAGCCAGATCCATCTGACATCAGCATTGTTATCCCTGGTGCCACAGCCTGTTCTAAACCCTGCTTAAAATTCTGGTGATGCCCTGTCAATGTACTGCTCTAGTCATTTTTGGATGATTTTTGGCAATATTTTGCTTACATTTGATAGCAATGTTACTGTTCAATAATTTTCACACTGTGCTGGATCATCTTCCCCGGGAATAGGAAAAAATACTTATCTCTTCCAATCACCCTGTAAGGTAGAGCTGTCCTAAAAATTTCTTGTCATAGACTGCTGAGCATGTCCAGGTTGGTGTCTGTTAGGTGAAACATGCCAACTGGCGTTATTTTTTGCCAAACCTTTCAATGCAGCTTGAACTCTCTTACTTATTTACCAATAGCTCTTGTTCATATAGGACTTCTAGAATTTTCAGTATCAACGAATTATTTTTGTTATAATGACTCTATATAGTCCCTCCATCTTCTTGTGATGCTTCCTGGATCATTCAAGATCTTCTCCATAGTATCTCTCAATATTAGAACTTGAGGCTTGAATTAGTTTTTCAGATCTTTCAGTTTGGAAAACGCCGAAAGAGTTTTTCCCTTTTTATTTTCTGATTCTAGCTCTTTGCACACGTCATTATATTATTTTGCTTTGCTTTGTTGAGCTGTCCTTAGAAATCTTCTCTTCAGCTCTTTTGCATCTCTTCCTTTTGATTTGCTTCTCAGTGCTCCAATGCAATTTGCATAGTCTCTTCTGATATCTATTTTGGTTTTTTTGTGGGTTTTTCCCCCTCCTCTATCATTTTAATGACTTTTTGCTCTCTTCATAGATGATATAGTTGATGTCATTCCACAACTCCTCTGTTCTCTAATCACGGATGCCTGAAACCCATTCTTGAGATTATTTTTAAATCCAGGTGGAACAAACTAAAGGGTGTGTTTTGATTCTTGTGAATTCATGTATAGCCTGTAATAGAGATGTAGTAAGTATTTTTTGTAAAAAAAAAATAATGAGTTTATTTTTAAAATATTCTTCATCAACACTAAGTTAAGGCTCTCAAACTCAACTTGTTACTTTCTAGTTGGAATCAACTGCTAGCTGATCCTCCACTGTATTCCTAAGGCTATAAACCACAAACGATGAGGCTGTGCATTTCTCTTCTATGGAGGTGATGCTAGATTTGAACGTTCAGGGAAGCACAGCCTTTGGGTCAGCAGCTCAAGTTGTTATTAACTATGTCGCCAAAGTTTGGTTTTTTTTAAAATTTTTGTTTTATTAATTTTAATGAACATTTACAGAGAGGTTGAAATGTTCCATGGTGTCAGAAACACTGAAAATTGGCTTTTCTATCAATTGTGTTAGCCCTCATTGAGGGCATGGTCTCTAGCTATCTTAACTGTGGACCACATAGTCTTGCAAATCATCAACAGCTGTGGGACCTATATAAGGAAAAGTATTCCACACTCTGAAAAGCGGTGGTGAAAAGAATAAACAATCGGGCACAGTGTGAAAAGACTGTGGTACTGCTGTGAAGAGACTGTGCAAGGTGTAAACAGAGGAGCTTTGGAGATGCAACCACAGTTAAAGGTTTTGCTAAAGGTTTTGTTTTTCTTTAACCATAGTTAAAGGACAAATGAAGGGAAAGCTGACCTGTAACCTGTAAGCTCTGAGATAAAGTTTGTTGGACAACTGAGGAAACCAGAGATTTATTTGTGCTACTAAACTGAACCTAGACTTCTACTTGTTGACTGAGAAACTATATGAACAAATAGAGGAATTATGTCTTGCTGTTAGTCTAGCGTGAGACTGTTGTTCACTAAACCTGGACTTTTTGTTGTTGTTGTTGTTGTTATATGCTGTTAAGTCGCTTCTGACTCACAGCAACCCTATGTACAACAGCCCTAAACTCTGCTCTGTCCTTTGCCTATCTCACTGTCTCCAACACACCCGTCCTGATTGCCCGTCACCAAATCAATCCACCTCCTAGAAGGCCTTCCCCTCCTGCACCCGCCCTCCACCCTCCCTGGTGGTCTAGTTTAGAGAGCGATACAGACTGCACAGAGGGCATCCCTCTTACAGATCAAATCCACCAGTTGCTTTGGTGGATAAAGACAAGTAATCTCTTCCCCAGCAATGTAATGTCTTCTAAAAAAAAAAAAACCAACAAACCACTGGAGGGTCAGTGATGAGTCAGTTTTGCCTTGATGACAATGGCTCAATCCATATTGGAGGCTTCAGTCCTTGACCCTCTGCAGCAAGCACTTCAGGTCCTCCTCAGTTTCAGCAAGCAGGGTTGTGTCATCTGCATAATGCAGACTGTTGATAGATCTTCCACCAATCCTGATGCCGCATTTTTCCTCATAGAGCCCAGCCTTCTGGATGATCTGTTCTGCTTACAGTTTGAAAAGGCATGGAGACAGGACACATCCCTGGTGTACGCCCTTCCAATTTTGAACTATGCAGTGTTTCCTTGCTCTGTTCTGATGACTGCCTCTTGGTCCAAGTATAGGTTTCACATTAGCACGGTCAAGTGTTCTGGGATTCCTATTCTTCTCAGAGTAGCCAGTTTGTTATGAGCCACACAGTCAAACACCTTTGCATAATCAATGAAGCACAGATAGACATTCCTCTGGTACTCCCTGCTTTCAGCCAAGATCCATCTAACATTAGCTACTAAACCTAGACCTTACTGTATGATATTGTTTGCTTTCCCTACTCCCCAATCTATTTCCCTAATAAACCCCACAACTGTGATTAAAATCTGTGAGTCATTTTGCAATAGACCCTGGAAATAATGATTGGTAGAAACAATTACAGGAGATTGGGGTGGCATGTCTGACCATGTGCTACTTGTATGTTCCCATGGCTCCAGAATCAACACTCTTAGCAACTGCAGTGAGGAAATCAAAAGACAAATTGTGCTGAGAAAATCTGCTGTCAGGGACTACTCCGAGCACTAAAAAGCAATGATATCAGTCTAGAAACTAAAGCGCACCTTACCCAGTCCAGGGTCTTTGCAATTACGTGCTATGCAGCAGAGGGCTGAACAATGACTAAGATGACTGAAGAAGAATTGGTGTCTTTGAGTTGTGGTACTGGAGATGAGTCTTGACCATACCATGGGCCACCAAGAAAACAAGTAAATCTGTCTTAGTGAAGGTGAAACCAAGCTTCTCTTTCTAGGCTAATATTTTGAAGCTCCATCTCATATACCTTGGGCATGTGGTCAGGTTGTACTGATCCTTGGAGAAGGCCAACATGCTTGGAAGGGTGGAGGGACAAAACAGGAAAGGAAAACCCCGAATGAGATGGATTGGCACTATAACTGGGGCAATGGGGTTAAGTGTGTCAAAGTCAATGAAACAGGCTCAGGATAGGGAATGCTTCAGAGCTGTTAGACATAGGGTCATCATGAGTCACAGGTGGCTCAATGGCACATAACAACAATGGATAAACTGATAGAGACAGTTTCCCGTCATGAAGTGGGTAGAAGTCAGACTCACCCACCCCTACATTATTATCCGCTCCTATACAAATCTCAATAAATAAATGCCCATCTAAAACTTATACAATAGCATTCTTAGAATGGTATAATGGAAAAGACAGGATTTTAATTGGAAATAGTAATATTTTACTCACTGATAAGACAAAAATTAGCAAATATATTCCCTCAAATTCATCAATTGCCTTTTCAAATTCACAACTTGGAACCCATATACTTATTACATATTGACTCCTTGTGTAAAGAATTAGGTTAATAATATCCTTTGTGATTGTTATATGCTGTCGTGTAAGAATCTATTTAATTTGACTCTTCAGGGGTTCTCAAAGGCTATAAACTTACATAGGAGAAGATTACCCATCCTTATCCCATGAAGCAGCTATGGATTTGAACTGCCTGTCTAAATCAGCAGCATAATTCCTTACCCACCAGGCCACTAGAGCCCCAATTATAACACTTACTTAGTGTATGATATCATTTAACATATGCATAATTTAATGTATAATTTAATCCATTAATTAGCTAAATTTTATAACTAGTGCCCAAGAAAACACCGCTCAAACAAAATTAAATACCTTAACAACATTACCACTACTGTTAGGTGGCATCAACTATAACTGACTGTGGCCATGAACAAAAGAGTTGAACATAGTCCACTCCTGCACCACACTCACAACCCCTGATATCCTTTGAGCCCACTATTACAGTCACGATGTCAATACATATTCTTGAGGTCCTTCCTCTCTTTCTCTGACCTGTCATCTTTTACAGCATGACTGATACATTCTTCCAAGGACTCATCCCTCTGGACAACAGTTTCACCACCTTTACCTTTAAGAAGCATCCTGGTTGCACTTCTTTCAAGATAGATCGCTTATCTTGACAACTACCTATATTTAATCATGCAATTCCCTAAACTCCTGCTCAATTCTCCGATTTTCCTCATCTGACATTACCAGCTTGAATGCTGCATTTACTGTGTGCTATGAATTTCAAATCGGCTAGTAACCTCCCTTTACTGAAGTCAAATGATCAGGGGGAAAAAAATAACTTATTATTGGGGAACTAAACCAACAGAAAAGAAATGCAAATAAATTTTATGTATTTTGTAATTTCTACAGAAGTATAGAAAATGGCCTATATTTCTTTCCCAAAAAGTTTAGCATAATTACTACCTGGGGATTCTTATTTAACAAGCTTTACCATTAACAAGATACCAAAGAAAAGTGAAACCATGCAAATTGCAAAGATTTCTTTTTCAAGCACAAAAACATATATAATATGAAGTACAAGCTTTAAATGTATCTACACTGACAGAGTTTCTTAACAAACAAGAGATTTATAAAGCAACTTAGAAAAAGAAAGTGAGCGATGAGGTGCATAGTATGCAAGAAATGGAACAAAAGCTTTTACCAAAAGAGTAACGATTAAATGGGAAGCATGGAATAATATCTGGAATGACTCAGGCAAACTGAAGCCTATTACACACTAACACCACTAAGCAAGTGACCTTTTGAAACAGCAAATTAACTGTGGAAATTATATCAATTCTGATGGCACAAAGGCAGAGGAGTATCACTGAAGTTATGTCCAGTTCTTGCATACTACAAAGGAGCTCTGGTGGTCTAGTTTAGAGAGCGATACAGACTGCACAGAGGGCATCCCTCTTAGAGATCAAATCCACCAGTTGCTTTGGTGGATAAAGACAAGTAATCTCTTCCCCAGCAATGTAATGTCTTCTAAAAAAAAACAACCAACAAACCACTGGAGGGTCAGTGATGAGTCAGTTTTGCCTTGATGACAATGGCTCTGAGTTGAGATACAGAGGAAAAATTGATACTGGTTTTAGTTTTGTTTTATGGGTATTTTGTGGGGTTGTGTTTTGGTTTTGTTTTTTGTGGGGTTTTTTTATACTGTTTTAAGAGTAATGAGGAAAGCGTCAGTTAACTGTAAACTTCATCTAGGAAGAAAGAGTTCATTCTTTTACCATTTTCTTCTTCCAGAGAAGCAATGAAAACACCACTGGTACAGTCTCATAAGCAAAAAAGGAAATTATCAAATAATATAAGGTTTTACTTCATGAGATTTTGATGCTTTTTTTAAAATGAGTATTAAAAAAAAACTATTAAAATACAGTTTGCTATTGTTATGTGCCTTGGAGTGGTAACCAACTCGTAGTTGACTATCCAGCAGGTTTTCTGAGACTACAAATCAGCAGAGAGGACACAGTCCATCCTTCTCCTGCAGAGGAGCTGGTGGATTCGAACTGCCTGTCTTTGAGTTGGCAGCACAATTCTTTACCAAAAGAGCCCACAACCGTTCTCTAAAAATACAGCTCAGTTGCTCTATTTTATGGAATACCTTATTTAGTTCTTCTTTGGTGAGAGATGCCAGAAGGGTTTTTCGGAATCGTCCTTCTTTGTATTTCTGGATGATAAAGGTTTTTCTCTTTTCTACTGGAGAGTCCATATGCAATTCCTCATCCTTGTGAAGATTACCAGCCCAAAAGTCATTTGCTCTTTTGTTTCCAATGACAATGAAAAGCTGAATTTAAAAAAACAAAACATGCAATGCATTTATATTGGCAGAAAAAAGAATCACATGACTAATTAAGAGCATAACAGTATAAAATAAGAACCATGAAAGGAGACTTTAACAGGAAGATGGAGTACAAAATAGATACTATTTCAATTTGAATAAAGAACAAGTGATCACAAGAATAGTTGAAACAAATGAATCTGGAAGGAAATACAAGCAAAGGTCAATAGTAGTCAAGAAAGAAAAGAACAATGTCTTCACTCTCTCCTCTTAGCTTTTTTTTACCCATGTCAAGTGAGATGGAAAAAAAAAAAATAAATTCGAACTTTAAAAAAAGTGGTCAAGTCATTAAAAGTAGTCATTTTATTAAAAAGACATATGCTTTTTATTCTAAAAATAACTATCTCAGTTACAAAGCTTTCAGGAAGAATTACTACTCTGCTAAGGAAATTCATGCCATGCACCCAAGGCAGGGTTCTTTCCCAATCTCTTGTAATCATCAGTTAAGCCATACTTACCTCAATGAGCTCATTACTCCAAATACTGGCATCCATTTTTAGACTTCTAACCTTTGAATCTTTAGGTCCTAAAGACCTATGCTGTCCTAAGTACAAAAATACAAAATGATGGCATTTTAATATTAGCTTGCAAGCAACACTAATTCACTTTGCAACGAATATGGGCATGTATGTACAAACATACGTTTGCATGCATACTTATTTATATTTTCAACTTAGGATGCATAGATTTTTACTAAATGCTTAAGACCACCAAACAGTTACGGAAATTATTTTTTTTAAAAAGCACAGCCAATCCCAAAGATGATGAAATATTTTTAACACCATCCTGTATTATCATAAAGTACACTTTTTAAAGCATATGGATTTTTTCCCCTCATTTTTTTCATTGGTAATTAAGTCCAAACTATAGGTCATTTTGTGTTTTGCAAATTTCTGTTTAATTAACACATACACGAATGAAAGCATTGTTCCTTTGCTCTTAAAAAATTATCTACACATCTAAAAAAATGCTTACTTAAAAATTTACCATGAATTTTGCACTTCTCTACATAAAGAGCCCAGAGTTCTATTATCGTCAGTTCTCTTTTGCTGTGTAAATCATCTTTCAGTGATTACTGGGCACCCACACATATGTAAGATGTTTTCTAAGCTGTAGAGGAAGCAAGGTATATAGACTACTATCCTGGCCTCAAGGATTTTGTGGGTTTTTTGTTTTTGTTTTT